AAATGAATGAAAGAAATAAAAACAAAGTGCGTGAGTTAAAGAAAATAAAATAAACAATCTTAACACCAGAAACTACAATGGACACACAGGATATGAGTAAGTTTTATTGATATTTCTTGTAGAATGTTCTTATTTCGAAATATTTATTGTTGTAAATCAACCACCTCTTGTTCCTCATACTATGCCTTATAATATGTTCAAATTTTCAACGGCCCCTATTGTAACTTAACACCAAGTCACACAAAGCATGACGTGTTCATGAATTGAACTTTAGCTTTTTCTTGATGTGCAAACAAACATGCAAGGTTTACAAAAAGTCATCACTAGAGAGAAAACTAGTTATAATCTAAATAAAATTAAAAAGGTATCTGTTAATAAAAGTTTGCTAAAAATGTTTCATACGAATACGAGGTAAAATGTAGTTACAGCCGTGAGAATGGAGTGACCTTCCCCTCTGCATGGGAAGTAGGTCACATAGACAATGATCGCAGTCTTAGTGATCTAATCCCATAACAAATTATTTCTGGCATGAAGAATATCTTTAATGGGTGTAAAATTCCATAAATAACAATATTTGTGGACATGTTTACAGAACTTATCAATTTGGCTAAGGTATTTACATTCTAATGTGCTTTCCCAAACTTCAATTGCCTTAGGCCATTAAAAAGAGCCATTAATTCCTCCTGCAAGTGACCATAAAATTTACAAACCCTTATTATGTATAGCCAAGAACTGGCTTTACATTGCAGAAGATCAAAATGTGTACCAGTTACAGGGGTCTTGATTGAAGGTTACACCTAACAATTTAAGTGCAGGCTTCATTACAATTGAGGGTAATGCATCAGGCACCTGTTTGGTTGTTTTCCCTCTTAATACCATTTCCCAGGTCTTGCTTTGGTTAAGTTTCATCCTGTTCTTACAGGCCTGTTGTTGGATATTTCCCACCTCTTGCATTGCTGTAACATTGCCTCAATTCCTCAATTAAACCACTCTCCACCAACAGAACTGACCTACCCCAGATTTCCTTTATCTGCAATAGATACATTTGTTATTTCTGATAACCTGAATGATGCCAAAAAAGCAATCCTTCAGACTCTTGAAGTTGATGAGAATTCTAATAACAGCATTGAATCTGCCACAAGAGAGCAATCAAATTCTGATCTCAGGAAGAATGAGTGTAAATATAGATTCACAGCTTTAAGATTCCAGCTAGTAAAAAAAGGCAAAGAAACCATCACAAGTTTCCTGCTGAGCTCACTGACCCAAAGTCATTCTCTTCCAGACATGTTGAGCATGGACTGAAATATAAACCAATTTCTCTAAAAGAGTACAAAAAATAATGTTAACCAGAAAGACTCCGGGTAAGGTTCTCAAGTGTGATCAAGTCATTTCACAACATTTGCCAATTCTTGCTGGCTCCCCTGATGCAAGAGTTGTTGATTTTGGATGCAAGCAACACTTTGGACTTGCATAGGTTAAATGTTCAGAGACCAAATACCATGTTACCCCTTTGGAGGCTTGAGAAGATCCTTCATTCTGCTGTGAAGCTGTCAATGGACAATGCAAACTCGAAAGAGATTGGTGTAACTAGAGCATCCTAGTGCGATTTCATTGTATACACCAAGAAAGGAATTTCTGTGGAAAGGATTGCCTTTGACCCTGCATACCTGGCAGAATTAAGGCAAAAGCTTGCATCATATTATTTTGCCCATTTTAGAAAGCATGCATCAAAGGCCGTGTAAATGCCAGCTTTTTAGGAGGTTTCCACTCTTGTTTCACCTATTCTATTGGGTGATCTTCACTTGATATTTGTAAATTTCTCAAGACCAAATTTGGTTTTGGTTTAATTTTTTCACCACTTCCATTTTGAATTTATTTCGCTTCATTTCTTGTCAATGAATACAAGACAATAAAAAATAAGAGTCAACCGGATTGAAAATCTGAAACAAAAGATGAATCTAAATTGCAATAC